CAGGCCATGCGCTAAAAAAAAAAAAAAAAAAAAAAGGCTATAGATACAGTGGTGACTTTGGTCCTATGTGTTAAACGTTCAGATTAAAATTACCTGGTGTGAGTATATTAGCATTTGTGACCCTGTTTTTTATATCAAAAATATATATGCCAGCAAAACGAAATATACTTCAGACCTAGCTATGACGCATTTCCTTTGCCCTTCTAACTCGACACAGAGCTAACCGTATATCTTTTCTGATTTGGAAAGAACATCTGCTTTATTGGTCGTGTGGCAAAGACAGGGCATTTCCGCCTTAAAACAGCAGAATCTTTAATCTTGGAGTGACTATGTTAACAAGATCATAAAATAAGGAAGAATTGCCCTTAAATTAGTAAATTTAAAATCTCTTATATGTTCGAGGGGCTGAAATTGCCCTTGTGGGGAAAATATCTATCATATCAGTTAAAAAAAGGACTCGTCCCAGTTCACCTTCAGCCCTATCTGCCCGGTGTCCTCCACCCGCCTCTTCTTTCCCGATACTCCTCCTAAGGCTTTGGACTCCCGGAGTTAGCTTTGGTTCCTGGAGCCAACGAGCGCCAACGCCTCCTGGCCAATGCGGTGAAAGGTCTACAATCTTAGAGGCTGTGCGCGGCAGGTGACGGAGCGCTACCCTCTTCCTCCCATCAGTAGGGCCAAGACCTGAACAGGAGGAGCCAATAACGGAAAAGCTCCACCCACTCGGGCGCTACAACCTAAGTGCGGCCGCGGTGTGTATCAAAGCCAATTGGAGGGAAATCCCACCTCTAGGTCTCTTTTTTCTTCTAGTGTAGTGAGAAACTGTCTCATAGCAAAACTAGTTAGAGGATCCAAAGGTAAAGGAACTTTTACGCTGACTAGAAGAAGCCAATGAATTGGAAAAATCGTCAAGTTGGCAGAAGCAGCCAATGGGATGAAAAGATTCTGGCGGCGGAGCCAATGGAGAGCCAAGAACACGACCCAATGGGATGGCGAAACTCCCCACGGCTGGCGGAGCCAATGGCCGCCTTTCGCCGGCTCCTGGCAGCCCCACGTTGGGTCAGCCTCAGAGCCTGAGCGCGGGCCCAAGTGACAGGTTCCCGTAGCCGAGGGGAAGATGGCGGCGGCCGTGCTGTTGGCCGCCGGGCTGCGTGTGGCGCGCAGGGTTGTGACGGTCGCGGGGCCGCGGGGGGCGCAGGTGAGAAGTGGCCTGGGGGCGAGGAGGGTATCCTGCGGGTTCTGACGTCTCCCGGGGCCGGGGGCCGCGTTCCTCCTCGGCTTCTCCAGGCGCGCGCAGCCCTGCGGCCTCGGGGGGTTACAACCCGAGGCTCGAGCTCCAGGACTGTGTGGTGATCTGACTAGTGGTCGCAGCAACCTCTCCAAAAGCCTCGCAGCAGGAAAAGCGAACTGGTGATGACCGACGTCCTGCACAGGCCCGTGCGCCGCGGTCGGGACAAGGTCCCTGCGGCGGCTTCTGCCTTCTCCTAAGCCTGCCTGAAGCTCAGCTGACCAACGCCTGCTCGGAGCAGCCTCCTCGGTGCTCCTTTAAGGAAGTGATCTTTCTCTTCTTGGAGCTAGTCTTCTGCCCCGCTTCGGGGCCCCTTGCCTACTGAGTACTAGTATTAACCTCTCATCTTCCCTATCTGCCAGAGCGACTGGACTGGTCAGATTCATCCCATCCCTCTCTTCCACAATGAGACCCCCTGAGAAATTGGGACTTCTGAGCCCCTGGGAAATTGGGACTTCCCTACTCTCAATCTCCTGGGGCTGGGGCTGCCCAGTTCACTTAACTGAACTCTTCCTTCCGCTAATTCAAAGGACTGGAGTTAAAATTCACACTCAGCGGTCAAAGGTAACACCCAGACGCCCATGTGTCCAACGGGGCAATTGTATTAAAACCTGAATAAAACAGGTAACCTGGATTAAAGATCAGAAAACAAGTAATGGAAATAAGTGGAAACATTAAAAAGGTGAGGGTAAATGGGAAAAGCTTCAAGTGGTATTAAGAGATGATGATGCAAACTATCCCCTATATATTTGAAGCCAAGAGGGGATTTATCTAAGGTAAATCAGTGGTAAAACAGGAACTGGGACCCGTCTCCAGGTTCTCATACTGGATCCTTTCCCCCTGAACAGTGCTAGATTTCCTAGACACTTTAGATGCAGAAATCTACTGGATTGCTGAATCCTACATTGTAATACTGCCTGTTATCTAACTAGGCCCAACACTCTGGCCCTACTCTCTGCTGCTGACACTCTGAAATTGAAGAACTTTTCCTTTGGGAACTACTAATAGGTTCTTAGAAGGGTGAAGTTAATGACTATCAGAGCCCAGTCTCGCCAGCCCCAGCTGAGTACATGGAAGAGGTATTGCCTACTCCCTCCCTTGGGTATGTCTGACTCACCTTCAGGTCCGAGGAGCTGCAGGTGTGAATGGTGAGAATGAAGTGGCCAAGGCCCAGCAGGCAGCTCCTGGGGGAACAGCCCCAACCATCTTCTCCAGGATCCTGGATAGAAGCCTCCCAGCTGACATTCTATATGAGGACCAGCAGGTGGGGTGCCCTTAGGACACATCCCAATGGGAAATTCATAGATACCATCCAGCCTGTTGAAGTAACATGGTGGCTTCTGACCTGTCACTGCTCCCAGTGTCTTGTATTCCGTGATGTGGCCCCTCAGGCTCCTGTGCACTTCCTCGTCATCCCTAAGAAACCCATTCCTCGGATTAGCCAGGCTGAAGATGAAGACCAGCAGGTGGGAAGAATAGGGCTAGGGTTTGGCTGGGGGGAGCCCTCAACTCAACTAAAGGTTTTGCTTTCAGTGAATAAAGTCTCCTGTCTCCCTACCCTTCCCCTGTAGCTTCTAGGACACCTTCTCCTCGTAGCCAAGAAGACAGCAAAGGCTGAGGGGCTGGGAGACGGATACCGTCTTGGTAAGTGACTTGGCCCTTGAGCCCCTCACCTATAATTTTCATACCTACTCAATATGACCTTCATGCTTTGACCTTTCCCATGATCCCAACCCACTAACCTCAAGCTCCATTTCAGTGATCAATGATGGGAAGCTGGGAGCACAATCTGTGTATCATCTTCACATTCACGTACTTGGGGGCCGACAGCTCCAGTGGCCTCCAGGTTGAACCTACCAACTGACCAAGACCCCAGACCTGGATGCTCGGATGGGGGTGGGGGAAAAGGGACCTTGTGATGCGAATAAACTTGCCCTCCCTCAATTTTTGACCCTTGTCTTAAATATATAAAGATTTATACCACATATAGGAAAGACATATGATTCAAGGTTATGACTCCCCTTGACTATGGTCTGGTAAAGGAGGCCCATACAGTAGTTAAAAGAGCATTTGCCTATAGATCTGTGAGTCTTCCTTCCTAGTGGTCCACCTGAGTCAAGCTTCTAGACAAGTAGTAGGAATAAGCCTGAATGAGTAAGAAGAGATTAAATCTTAGCAGTGAGTTGTGCTCAGTCCTGGCCCTTATTCAGCTGCCAATCCAAGTAGTAAGAGGGTCTGGGGAAGTGGGTGGCCTTTTACTGGGGGCGAAGTAATTACAAAAAAGCGGCTACTTTTTAATCCCCGTGTCTCACCATTTTGCCTTTAAGCGATTGTCTGATGTATTTTCATCCTTAAAATGTTTGAAAAGGCTCCCCTTACTTTTGAGAATGAACTAAAGGAAAGTTACTGTTGCACCTACATAAATACAAAAGTAGGCTTTCGTCTGATACCACGGCCCTGTGCCTGTCTCCAACACAACCACCACCTCAGAGAATCATGCTTAGTTATAGAGGGCGAGGCCTCAGAGCAGCGGAACCTTAAAAGCCGGGGATACGGCGGAATGGAGTCTGGACGGAAAGCAGCCTTCCCACACCGCACCAGGTTACAGACTTCCGCCCCTCAGGGAACTTGCCTCCACCTCCACCTCCACCTCCACCCTCCAACATCCGCCCAGTTCCGTTTCTGCGCAGACTCCTGGGATTATTTGCCGTCGCTATGGCAACCCGGTAGCTGGTGTCTGACGATGGAGACCTTTGATTTTACTGAGAGATCGCGGTCACGGTGAGAGCCGCAGCTCTGGCTGCAGGCGTAAGGGGACAAGGAAGGTTAGCGGACTTCCTCTCCTGAGCTTTTGACAACTTTGACGCATTCACTTTCAGATCTTTACACGAAAGGCCCAGCTTGGAAGGATTAGGGTCCACTTCGGAACCATCTCCTTCGGACAGTGGTCCCAAGTCGGCCCTGGCAGCCGCAACTGCAGAAGCTGCAGCAGCTGCTACAGCCACTGCAGCTGCCTCCACTTCCAAAGCAGCTGCATTACCTATAAAGACCCAAGCGCCATACTCTAAGCCTAGCCACCTCATGGATCCCTCCTCCGAAAGTCTTCTTGGGGAGCCCTACACTGGATCCAGCTTTACTCACAAGATAGGCAATGGGAGATTTGGCTTTAAGCCTGTCTACGGTTCCTGCATTGCTCAAGATCCCTGTACTACAAGTGACCTTAGCTCTAGTCCTGGCCTTGCTACTGGCTCTAGCTCTGACCCTGTTCCTGGCTCCAGTTCTGGTCCTGGTGGTGGCTCTGGCCCTGGTCAAGGCATTAGTCCTGATTCTGGCCCTCTTCCTGCCAGTGACTCTGGGCCTAATCCAGGCTATGGCCATGACCCTGAGCTCAGCCCCTACACTCTTCCAAGCGTGAGAAATCCCGGGGCGGACCCAATCCCCAGTTATGCCTCCTGGAATCACCACCAAGGGGAGCCGGAGAAACAGCGCTGGAAATTTTTGCAAGTCTCAGAACCTGGTGTCCGAGGGCTATGGAAGCCCCCCGATGTTGAAGAGAAGTGTAAGGTTATTAGTGAGACATTGCCACGGGGCCGGTGCCTTCTCTACAACTGGGAGGAGGAGGTATTAAGGTCTTGATCTTCTCCCTTTTCTTGAAGGTTGCCCCCTGTTTCCTGGGGGAGGCAATAGTTTATGATGAGGGTGGGCAGTAGAAACGTTATTGTGGTCACTCAACTTGGTACCCACAGAGAGCCACCAACCACCTGGATCAAGTCCCAAGGATGCAGGATGGCTCTGAGAGTTTCTTCTTCCGACATGGACACCAGGGGCTGCTGACCCTGCAGCTACAGTCACCCATGCCCCTCAGCACCACCCAGAAAGATGCATACCGGCCCCCAGGACACCACTATCAGCCAAGTAGAGGTGTGAAGCGTGATAGAATGGGCCAGAATGAATCCATTAGTTAGAGAAAAAAAGAAAGGAAGAAATTTCTAGTGGGACTATGGATTGTCCAATGGGTATAAGGGCAAAACACCATGATTTCCCTTCCTTTTCTCAAATTTGTTTCTTCTGGGCCTTCTTAACCACACTCCCCCACTCTCTCCACTCCCTACCCTCCCATAGGGAAGCGTGAAGCCATGCTGGAGATGCTCCTATACCAACAGATCTGGTGAGAGGCTGGGTGATGGGGAAACGGGAAGGGGAGGGAAAAATCAGGGAAGAATGGCCTTGATGTCCTCAGAACTGTATAGTAAAGAGGTGCAGGCAGAGCAAGAACCCACAAGGAAGCACGTTGAGATGGAGTCTGTGACACACCATGACTACCAAAAGGAGCTGGTGAAGGGAGGGCCTCCTGCCCCAACAAAGGTGAGAATCCATCCCACCCCACACATACAGCTGGGCTCTGGTGGACTGTAGAAAAGCAGCAGACCCAGAGGTTAAGGAAGGGAGCTTCAGACCAAAAGTTATTCACTATCTCTCCCTTACAGCCTCACGACTACCATAAGGAGCAGCCTGAAACCTTCTGGATACAGAGGGCACCACAGTTACCGGTATGTGTGAGTGACTAGACATTGGGGGTGCAGAAGGAAGAGGAGGGGAAGAGGTTGTTTGTTCTGTTCTGTCTTAGCAGAGAGTAGGATCTGTCCTCATTCTGGTACTCCTGCAGGGTGTCAGTAACATCAAGACACTAGACACGCCATTCCGGAAGAACTGCAGCTTCTCAACACCAGTGCCTTTGTCCCTAGGGCAGCCTTTGCCCTATGAACCTGAGAATAATTCCTACCAACTGGGAGAAATCTCTTCCCTTGGCTGTCAGGGAGGAGGGCAGGGTGGTGGAGGGGGTAGAACTGCCTAAGAGTTGAGGGAAGAAGGATGTGGAATATGGAATCTATTTCTGTCTGTACTGGAGAGGTGTTTGTACTTTGTAAAGGGGCTTTACATAAAGGGTTCTTTCTCATCGTAAATCTGCTAATTCAGTAATTTCCTGAGTTTCCATGTCCATACCCCATAACCTTTCCTTGGAGTTGCCCTTAACCCAAACTATGACATCATAATGTTTTTGTTGTTTTATATTTGGCCAAAATATTCTGGTTTAGATACAGATATTTACAGAAGGTTGGGAAGAAGGGGACCAGGCCAGAGACGGGCAGGTGTATGTACAAGGCTGAGCTGCAAAGGGCAACAACTTCCATGTAAGGTAGGGTTTTTGTGCACGTTGGTTTCCATCTCATATGACAGTGTCCAGTTTTGATGTGTGGAGAGATGGTGGCCACTGCCTACCCAGGTACCAGCAGCAGGAGATTGTCTGACTTGGAAAGAATTGGGGTTTACAGAAGTCCAGCAGATCCTTTCTGCTCTCCTAGGAGCCAGTAAGTTCGCATCTTTCCTTTTCCCTGGGAGCAGGGGAGTGGAGATAATTCAGATTCTTCTACGTCCCTCTCTTCCCCCATGATCCCCAAAATCACATCCTCCCTTTCCATGACCCCTTCCCCATGGCCTGCCATCACCTTCATCTCCACATCCCCCCGAAGCTCTAGCTGGAAGCATCCTAGCTCATCCAGGGCATCCTTGGTGGTAGAGGAGACATGGATCTTCAGGGCTGGGATAAGATGGAGGGATGGTGGAAAGAAGAATCAAAGAAAAGGCAACAGAACTGGTGATGTCTGAGAGAGCTTTACCCAACCACCACCCCTCAAAAGGCTCTCAGTCTTCCCAGTGCCCATGCACTAGAACCTAAATATGTCCAAGGATGGGGCAGTCAGGAACTGTGGTCTCAGATTGAGAGATTTGGAGGAACTCTGAAAAGAAGAAAAGGGCAACACAGATTGAAACTGAAGCCAGGATTGAGGGCTAATGTCTCACCTTGACCGTTAGACTCCATTCGGGAAGCAGTGTTCACCGTGTCTCCAAAAAGACAATAGCGGGGCATCTTCAGGCCAACGACCCCAGCACAGACAGGCCCTATGAAAAGAAATAGGTTGCAAGAGCCTGGGAAAAGTGGATACTAAGGCTGGAGTGAGAGTTAGCCTTACCTGTGTGTACCCCTATACGTAGCCTCAGCTGGTCATGGGGTCGGTGGCGAATGCGGAAAGAGGAAACTGCATCCAGTAATGCTAGGGCCATACGAGCAATTTCCGGGGCGTGGCGTTGACCATTTCGGCCTGGGAGACCAGATACCACCATGTAGGCATCTCCTATCGTTTCTACCTAATTGAGGGGAAATTAAAAGGTCACTTCTATCTGCATCAGTTGGAATGGGGAAGAATAGAAGGAGACAAGCTAGATACCACTATGAGTCATCCCAAAAGCCTGGGAGGCCAGAACATTGACTAGAAAAATGGGTGCCATGGTCCTGAGAATCTGGAGGGAAGGGGAAGTCAAGGGAATCTTTAAATCCTCCTGCCCCACCCAAGCGCCTGGTGTAGATTTGGTAAACGTCTGCTGAATGAATGGATACCCTGTCTGCAACAGGACAGAGACAAATAGGTTCTTCTGTCAGGAAATGAGAAAGAAGAAAACAGGGCTGACCTAAAGAGCACAGAGGCTAGTGAGGATGTCAAGCAGGCCCAGTGAAAAATGGGCCTCAGCCTAAACTGTCAAAGGTAAGAAAGCAGGCACTTGGCTTTGTTAATTGTACTGAAGCTGTACAAGAGAATGTCCGTGTTTTTAGGAATTAAACACTAAACTCTTTAGGGATAAAGAGGCACTATGTCTGAAACTTACTCTGAAATGGTTCGGAAAATAATTTATATAGATTTTTTTTTTTAATAAAGCAAATGAAGGAAAATATAAACAACTAGTGAATCTGGGTAAAGGTTTTATGGGAGGTCTTTGTTACAGTAATAACAGAAATGGTAGAATAAGTCCAAAGAGAAGGGACAGGAATGGATATTTATTATCTGCACAATGTTAGGCACTTTCCACAATAAATTTATTATTCCCATATTACAGATAAAACACCTAAGGCTCAGGTAGCCCAAGGCCACACAGTTAGCCACAAAGCCAATAGTCAAATCCAAATAATTTTTACTCCGAATCCCAATAAAGCCTACCCCATGCCAATTCTATCAATGACTTCAAGAAAAAGCTTTTACAATAGAGCTTGTCCCTCACCCCAATAAACCATTCTGTATGATTCTTCCATGTCTGGAGGGGATAGAGAGAAGAAAAAAAGATGGATAGGTTATATTTATACCCCCAGGCAAAATGTAGCATATAAGAGTTAAATCTTGTGATGGTTCCAATTAGGGAAGCCTAAGGAGTCACAAGAAATTAGATTGGAATGTACGGTCAGAGTGTCAGAGCCTCATTTGTCGTCTACAAAGGGCACTCTAATACCAGGATGCTGGAGACCCAGGAGGGAAAATTGACCATGGAGCAGATAAGGTATGTGGGGTTCAGGGAGACTGGGTTTTAAAGGGGTCTTAGTAGGAGGGTAGCCCCAGCTCTCACCTTATAGACGTCAAAGTTGTCAATTATGGCATCAAAGCAGGTATACAGGTCATTAAGAAGTGTCACCACCTAATGGATGGGAAAGTTGAGGCCCTGAGACTTGTGTCAAACTTTCTAAGATTTCTTAACCCAAGAGCAAGACATGGAAACTCCAGAACAATCGTTCCTCTTATCAAGAATCCCCATGCCCCAGTGAAGCTCTCCCAGATCCCTATCCTGCCCCCTAATCTCACCCAGGGCTCTCACCTGCATGGGGGTGCTCTCTGCTGACAAAGCTGTGAAGCCAACGATGTCACTGAAGTAGATGGTAACACTGTCAAAGGCCTCGGCCTGTACAGTCTCTCCCCGTTTTAACTGCTCTGCCACTGAACTAGAAAGCAAGGGTGCAGTTTGAGCCAAACTCAGAAAGAGGATAGGAGGGGAGAGAGGAAAGGAATGTATGCTGGAGCAGGCTTAACACGAAAGCTAAGCCTGTGGAGGAGAAGGAAGGTGGCTGGGAAGACATTATAGTCTAGCACAAGGTAAGGTGCACGAGTGCTCCCTGGAGGTGGGAGCTAAATGTCTCAAAGTGGAATTGTTCTACATACACGTCCTGGAGCAAAGGCATGGTAGAGCAGTGACCTAAGAAGAAGGCAGCACAGCTCATTTGGAGACAGGATGAAAACAGTCTAGCCAAAAAGGCTCACTGTGGCCAGACATAACAAAGCAGGGTTCTAAGAGTTAGGAGGTGAGTTCTCAGAGCACTGATGAGTCAGGATCCAACAGAGCAGAATATCAAAGGAAAATTCAGGAAGGGAGAAAAAAGTCTCACTGGGGTAGAATTTGGTAGAGTAGAGCCTCAGCCTTGCGTTTCTCCTCCAGATAGGCCTGTGTGCGTTCCTCCACCAGCTTCTCCAGGTTATTGGCATACTGCTCCATGCGCAACAGGAGGTTGTCCAGTATGCTGGTGCCTCCTTCCCTAGGGGACAGGGGGAGAGGCCAGAATATGATACCTGCTCCAAGATTCTCAAGACTCCCAGGTCTTCCAACCCAACCCACCCTCTCTTGGCCCCAACCAGTCCCATCTCATCCACTCAGCCTGATGAGGCTCTATCCCCGGGAAGCCCCTGCCCCTCAGTGCCTTCTCACTTGTTAAAGCGGCGAATGAAGCCCTTAATCTGTCCAAAGTCTGGGCGTTCGGCTGCGTCCTGGGCCCAACATCGCTCCATCAGCAAAATTAACTCTTCATTCAGTTGGGTCCGGTCAATGCTGGGCCGGAAATATGGCCGCTGACCATTTCTGACCTTCTGGACAATCTCTGAGAGTGATAAAGGGTTTGGATGAAGGACAGGGCCCCCCAGGTAGAGAAGGCTGTGAGGAGTAGATTGATTCTTACCTTTGGGGCTGAGGTCCAGGCCCTCCAAGTAGAAAGGACCACTGCGAAGTGCTATCTCCTGTAAGATGATCCCAAAGCTATAGATATCCGCTTTCTGCATGCCTGTGGTTGGCAAGGGGTTCCCACTGAGCAGTTCTGGGGCAGTCCACAGCTTCTCTGAAAAAAGGGAATAGGCTGGACAAGTCCTCAAAAAGAGTATTCCCAAGCCCACCTGGGTTAATTCCCATAATGCTTGCCAATTACTATCACTCCATCTCCCTCTCCCACCCTCCCTAGGCGGAAATGATCAGGGCCAGGGAGTAATATAAAAGTGGGCTATGAAGGAAGGCCTCCCAGGCATAGAGGGAAAAAAAGTTCAGCAGTATCGGAAGCTGGCCAGGCCATAGTCTGTGATTTTGAGCACAAAACGACTATCCACCACACAGTTGGAGGACTTGAGACTCCCATGGGATGCAATAATGCTGTTATGGAGAAAGGCCATGCCCTGCGAGATACAGATCAAGTCATGGGATTGGATTGTTTCTGGTTTAGGATACCTCCTCTCCATGAGATGGGCATTAGCTAGTTGTCTAAAACAAGAAGCTAATTGTGGAAGGCACATCTTCTGAACAGTTTAGACCCAAGAATAGGAGAGTCACCCCTTTCTGGTACCATAAGCAGTTTATTGGCACCCAGGCACCAGGGATAGGAGAAATGCTTCAGAGGAGGGACAAGGGGAGCTCTCAGTTATTACCCTGGAAAAGGCAGTCAGTCTTCTGAGTAGTGAAGGTAACTTAACTATGAAGATGAACTCCAAGAATATGACATAAATGCATGGCCACTACTTAGGAAAACATAGCTTGAGACCAAAGTATGAAGTGTACCTAAATTCATCAAGGAAGACTAACCAGTTGTAAACTTTAACGTATAACCAGGTGTAGGCAAGCAAGGCAGGGTAGAGGAGGAATGTGATCTATCAGAGGGTATGCTGAGCCAGAGAGAAAGTGCAGAAAATAGTAAATTAGAAAACTGAACTTCTGGCCCCAGGGGCCAGAGAGGAGGGAACCTTTGCCTATGAGGGGTGAGTGGTGCTTCCTATTATGAAAACCCTGAGACCCACCCAAGTTAGTTCAGACGGAGCAGAAAAGGATACAGTGTTGTGTGCTAACCAAAACACATCTGTGTGTTTAGCTCTGGACCTAAACAATTTATAACTCTAGTCTCTGTGAACTCTTCCTTCTTATTCCTTTTGATATCAACAAAAACTTTGGGAATCTCCAAGTCTGTGAATACAGAAATGATTAGGCTTCTAGCTTTGTTCTAAATCACTTTTCCACCAAATCACTATTCTAAGAGTCATATTTTCTTGTATTTATTATCACACCTCTGGTTGGGCACCACATCAACTGTACTCAATATTTTATCTGTCATTTGATGGAAAACTTTAACAAAAAAACATTTTTAAAATAATCTCCTGATAATTAAGCAGACAAACCAAAGCCAGCTTCAGACAGGATATGGGTGATCCTGTCTAAGACTAGGCTAGCTCACTGGCTATGGGACTTGCTTCTAAACATCTGTGTGCCCCATGCAAGATTCAAATGTATACCTCCACAGATCCATGGACCTCTGGGTCACCTGAAAATAGCTGAAACCTAGTATATCAGAAGATATCAAAGGTTTAGTATAATTTTCCTTGGTTTCTCTTTGTTTTACTAGTAAGTGTTATTTTTTAAATTTGTTTTCTAAACAAAAGAGCAGATATGCTAAATACTGGTCAGAAAGTAAATGATGAGAAAAAAACAGGAGATAAATATGTTTGGCGACAGTCATCTTTTCCCTGCATGAAAGCCAAAAATATTTTAATATAAGCTTTTGGAGGGGAGGGAGGGAGAGAGGGAGAGAAAGAGTGAGAGAGAAAGAGAGAGAGAATATGTAAAGAGAGAATATGTAGAGATGTGAGATATCTAGGGCAGGAAGACAAAAATTCTCTACAAGTAAAGGACTCTTTGTGGCAGATAAAACTCATTTCCCCCAATTAAAAACCCCAGACTTTTTGTTTAACCTTTATTACTCAACCATAGGAATAAGGGGAAATAGAATGGGACTTTTAGAGGACTAGAAAGGGAAATTACAAGCAAAGAGAGAAAAATGGAGGCATTTTAAAGCAGATGAACTCTTAAGGAGAAGCAGAGAAAACTCACCTTAACAAGGTCATTAATGAGTGAATAACGAAACATCCAGTCCAAGTTGATGCTGTCATTTTCCAGAATATCCTGGCAAGTGACATGGAATAGATTATGTGATTATCCTAGATCCACTAGCTTGCACCTGCATAGAGTTGATGTAACTTTGGGCCTATCCCCCCACCCACCCCCGCCCCCTAT